CCTCTCATCATATTGCAGCTGGAACACTGGGCATTTTAGCGGGGTTATTCCATCTTAGTGTCCGTCCGCCTCAACGGCTATACAAGGGATTACGTATGGGAAATATAGAAACCGTCCTTTCAAGTAGTATTGCTGCTGTCTTTTTTGCAGCTTTTGTAGCTGCTGGAACTATGTGGTATGGTTCGGCGACTACCCCAATTGAATTATTTGGCCCCACCCGTTATCAATGGGACCAAGGTTATTTCCAACAAGAGATATATCGAAGAGTTAGTACGGGACTAGCAGAAAATCAAAGTTTATCAGAAGCCTGGTCGAAAATTCCGGAAAAATTAGCTTTTTATGATTATATCGGTAATAATCCAGCAAAGGGAGGATTATTCAGAGCAGGTTCGATGGATAACGGGGATGGAATAGCAGTTGGATGGTTAGGCCACCCTGTCTTTAGAGATAAAGAAGGGCGTGAACTTTTTGTACGCCGTATGCCTACTTTTTTTGAAACATTTCCAGTTATTCTAGTAGACAGTGATGGAATTGTTAGAGCCGATGTTCCGTTTAGAAGGGCAGAATCGAAGTATAGTGTTGAACAAGTAGGAGTCACTGTTGCGTTCTACGGTGGTGAACTCAATGAAGTAAGTTTTAATGATCCGGCTACTGTGAAAAAATATGCTAGACGCGCTCAATTCGGTGAAATTTTTGAATTAGATCGTGCTACTTTGAAATCTGATGGGGTTTTTCGGAGTAGTCCAAGAGGTTGGTTTACTTTTGGGCACGCTTCATTTGCATTGCTCTTCTTTTTCGGACACATTTGGCATGGTGCTAGAACCCTTTTCAGAGATGTTTTTGCTGGGATTGACCCAGATTTAGATGTGCAAGTAGAGTTTGGAGTATTCCAAAAACTGGGAGATCCAACGACAAGACGACAAGCTGTCTGATATATCATTTATCCTATTATTTTGATATCTGTCTTTCGTTCTTTCTTTATCCGAAGCGAAGTAAGATATAGGGTAAGATATAGGATAAAAAAAACAAAAATAGGTAGGAAAGCTATAATTGGAAACTACGATGTAATTTATGGAAGCATTGGTTTATACATTCCTCTTAGTCTCGACTCTAGGAATAATATTTTTCGCTATCTTTTTTCGAGAACCCCCTAAAGTACCAATGAAAAAGATCAAATAATTTTTCGCTATAGTAACTTGAAGTAATAAGCCCTCCACCGTGGGGAGGCTTATTACTTCAACTAATCTCCATGTTCTTCAAATGGATCTCTTAGCTGTTGAGAAGGTTGTCCAAAAGCGGTATAGAAGGCATACCCAGTAAAACTAAAAAGTAAACCGGATATAAATATCGTCACTAGGATTGCTGTTTCCATTTTTTTATTAGTATATAATTAAAATACTCCAAAGGATCTATGCTAAGATCATTTCTTTATAACGCAATGGTATACAAAGTTAACAGATCTCTCAATAAATAAAATTGAATAAAAGAGGATTTATGGCTACAAAAACTAGTGAGAAAGGTTCTCAATATCGTCCAAGACAAACTACTATCGGTAATTTATTAAAACCATTGAATTCAGAATACGGTAAAGTAGCTCCGGGGTGGGGAACAACACCTTTAATGGGTTTGGCAATGGGTTTATTCGCGATATTTCTATCTATTATTTTAGAGATTTATAATTCTTCCGTTTTATTGGATGGAATTTCAATGAATTGAAACCTAGTCCCACTTTTTTTATTCAAAGCGGCGCCCTTTTAACTAAGATTTAGAATGCATTCTATTTTATGTAATTGTGGTAGTTCGATCGTGTTATTTATTTATTTCTATCATTTCCGGAATATGAGTGTGTGACTTGTTATAAAGGATCCTATTCATAGTCCATAAAATTTGGTTATCTTACTTACCAGAGATTATTTGATTCGTCAGATATGGATTCGAGTATCTGAAACACGAGATCTATTTGAACTATGATTCAGACTTCCTATTAAGACCTCGTGCCCGGGTTCCAAAAAAATTTTGAAACCAAGAAGGTTTGATTATTTAAAACCTTCTGGATGACCAAAATAAAAATTCCATCTATTTAGTATGGTTAAAGTTAATTTAAAAAGGTTCTTACTCAGGGAATCCTTGATTACGTTTCAATTTTTTTAATCGTGGTTCTAAATAGGAATCTTAGGTTTTTTTCGATTTATAGGGTCTTAACAAGGTAATTCCTATCCAATCAAATAAACAAAACAAATAAAAAAAGAATCATTCCATAAAAAAAAAGATAGGTAAAGAGAAGCTTCAAAAAGCCCGTCAAAATAAAAATAAAGACAACTGAGCTAACTTGATATGTTTGTATTAGTGCCAAAAAAATCAATAAGAAATAATAGATTTCGCATTTTATTGAATATAATCTATGTGTTGGTCTGGCCGGCGCAATGAGTATTTGGACATTTTTGGTTGAGCTGTACGAGATGAAAGTCTCATATACGGTTCTCAGGGGGGGGAAATTACCCTATCTCAATAAAGTCTATGATTGGTTCGAAGAACGTCTGGAGATTCAGGCGATTGCAGATGATATAACTAGTAAATATGTTCCTCCACATGTCAATATTTTTTATTGTTTAGGGGGAATTACGCTTACGTGTTTTTTAGTACAAGTAGCTACCGGGTTTGCTATGACTTTTTACTATCGTCCGACCCTTACAGAGGCGTTTGCTTCTGTTCAATACATAATGACTGAAGCGAACTTTGGTTGGTTAATCCGATCGGTTCATCGATGGTCAGCAAGTATGATGGTATTGATGATGATTCTGCATGTATTTCGTGTGTATCTGACAGGTGGGTTTAAAAAACCTCGTGAATTGACTTGGGTTACAGGTGTAATTTTAGCTGTATTGACAACATCTTTTGGCGTAACCGGTTATTCGTTACCTCGGGACCAAATAGGTTATTGGGCAGTGAAAATTGTAACAGGTGTACCCGAAGCTATTCCTGTAATAGGATCACCTTTGGTAGAATTTTTACGAGGAAGCGCTAGTGTGGGGCAATCCACCTTGACTCGTTTTTATAGTTTACACACTTTTGTCTTGCCTCTTATTACTGCCGTATTTATGTTAATGCACTTTTCAATGATACGTAAACAGGGTATTTCTGGTCCTTTATAAATCAAAATAGAAATAAAAAGAGATCCTAAATAAAAAAAATTTGTAAGATATGTTATTTCTCACTTGGAGGAGGGGTAATAGTATTTCATTGCTAAAAAAAATCCATTCTTTAAAAGAATAAGAAATGGTTTTTTATATTTATCTTCACCCTTCCTATATTCTTTTTTTTTTACATGAATACACAAATAGGCGAGGGGAATTCTTTGAAGTTGAAGATCAATTTTACGATAAAATGGATTATGGGAGTGTGCGACCTGAACTATTGATTGGTCCATGTAGATATAAGCCTACCACATTTGAATTATCACCACCCAAATGTGTCTTTGTTCCAATTGGCGCATAAGCCTTATGTGAGGGATAAGCTGGTTCCCTTGAAGATAATTTATTCTATGATCATATAAAAATCATGTTATACATGATTAGGCTCCGTAAAATCCAATATTGAATATAAAAAGATCCTAGAAACTTTTTATTTTTATTTAACATTTTAAACGCTAATATAGAATCTGTAAATGGAGTCATTTCCTCTCCATTGGTCCGATCTCGATAATACTATCGGAGTGAAACAAGAGATCTAACGAAGAAAAGAAACTGGACTTTTTTTTAGTAACAAGTAAACCTTTCTGCGTATCTTAAAATATGAAAACTTTTTGAAAATAGTTTCAGATAAATACGCATTCTAAGGTTGGAGACGACCCAAAAAGCACTTGATCCTATCAGAAAATTAAGCCTACTTGGGTCTTGAGTATTGACGCGTAAGCAAATAAGAAAAGAAATTTAATTTTTTGACTAGAGAAGGTTCACTTGATAAAAACAAATTTTTTCTTTTACATTGAACTATTTCTATATCATAGATTATCTTTTGTGTATAAATGAATATAAAGACTCTTAACGACTCTAAGATAACCTATAAACTACCTAGCTTTAGAAATGTATTTGTTCATTCATATAATGATTAATTCTTTTTTAATTATTTGTTTGAGTCTTGCTCGAGCTGGATGATTAAAAATGATCATGTCCGGTTCCCTCGGGGGATGGATCTCTAAGACTTCACCTATCCCAATAATAAAAAAACCTGACTTGAATGATCCTGTATTAAGAGCTAAATTGGCAAAAGGTATGGGTCATAATTATTACGGGGAACCCGCATGGCCCAATGATCTTTTATATATTTTTCCAGTAGTTATTCTTGGTACTATTGCATGTAATGTAGGTTTAGCAGTTCTAGAACCCTCAATGATTGGTGAACCCGCAAATCCCTTTGCAACCCCGTTAGAAATATTACCTGAATGGTATTTCTTTCCTGTATTTCAAATACTTCGTACAGTGCCTAATAAAATATTAGGTGTTCTTTTAATGCTTTCAGTACCTACGGGATTATTAACAGTACCTTTTTTAGAGAATGTTAATAAATTCCAAAACCCATTTCGTCGTCCAGTAGCAACCACTGTGTTTTTTATTGGTACCGGAGTTACCTTTTGGTTGGGCATTGGTGCAACATTACCTATTGAAAAATCCCTCACTTTAGGTCTTTTTTAAATTTGTTTTGTGGAGTTTTGATTCAATTTAAAAAAAACCAAAGCTTGTGTATCTAGGGAAGCGTTTCTTGAAAGTTCTTCCTAGATACACGTCAATTCATATTCATGAATGTTTCAATTTATTTTTTTTATTAATTAAACCTAAGTTTATAATCAATACAGTGCAAAATATTTTCCTAGAATCCCCAATATATGTTTTATATCTTCTAGTTGAAAATGTTCTATTTTTAAAAGATCTTCTTGTTTTTGATTAAAAAGATCAAATAATGTAAATATATTTGACTTTTTCAAGCAATTATATATCTTGGGAGGGAATTCTAATTGGTCAATAAAAATTAATTTCAATGAAAGTTTCTTTTTTTTTTTTATAAGTGTAGTCACTTTATTATAAAAGATAAGGGGGGGTAGGGGAATTGTGTGTTTTGCATCTGCTAAATATAAGTTTTCTTCTTCCATCTGGAAAAAAGGAATAAAGAAATCAATCAATATTCGGGCGGATTCATGAAGTGCTTCTTTTGGTGTTAAACTTCCATTTGTCCATATTTCCAAAAAAAGTATCTCTTGTTTTTCATTCCCATAAGAATGAATACTATGATTTGCATTTTGAACCGGCATGAAGAGAGCATCTATAGGATAACTTCCATCGTCAAAGTGAAGGTCCACTTTGTTGAAATATCCGCGATTTCTCTCTATTTTTAATCCAATAAAAAAATCAATAGGTTCCGTCAACCAAGCTATATGTTGTGTGTTATCAACAATTTGTACATGGGGGTGGTAATATTATATCTTGGGCAGTTACATGTCGAGGTCCCTTGATACAAATAGACGCATCACAACTTTCATATAGATTGCTCCTCAATACAATTTCTTTCAAATTCATTAAAATCTCATGTACCGATTCTTGAATCCCCCCTATGGTAGAATACTCATGCGAGGCTTTCTCAGATTTTACACGTGTGATACATGTCCCTTCTATTTCTCCCAGCAAAGCTCTTCGCATCGCAATTCCTATTGTATCGGCTTGACCTTTTATAAGTGGAGATAGAATAAAGCGGCCATAAAAAAGGCGTTTACTGTCTATTCTTGATTCAACACATTTCCACTGTAGTGTCCGAGTAGATACTGCTACTTTCTCTCGAACCATAAAAATTTTGATTTAGTATATTAGTGAATCTTCTATTTCTCTTGATATAGGTTCACTTTTGATTTCTACACACGTCGTTTTTTGGGGGGTCTACAGCCATTGTGTGGCATAGGGGTTACATCCCTTATAAAAGTTAATAATATACCGCTTCTATGAATAGCTCGTAATACTGCATCTCTTCCGAGACCGGGACCTTTTATAAATACTTCGGCTCGTAGCATACCTCGATTCACTACTTTACGAAGAGCATTTATTACCGCGGTTTGAGCAGCGAAAGGTGTTCCTCTTCTGGTTCCTTTGAATCCAGAAGTACCGGCAGAGGACCAAGAAACTACCCGTCCCTGTACATCTGTAACAGTCACTATGGTATTATGGAAACTGGCTTGAACATGAATTACTCCTTTTGGTATTCTACGTGCATTCTGACGTGAACCAATACGTCCCCCCTTCCTACGCGAACTAATTCTCGATATATATTTTACCATTAAGCATTTTGTAAATCTGAGTCAGCGATATACTATATGGATATATCCATTTCACGATTCTTTCATTTCTATAATTGGTTTAGTTACTAAGTTAAGTTGCGAAGTCTTATTATCCCTGTCGTTGTTTATGTCTGGGATTGGAACAAATTACTATAAGTCGTCCCCTTCTCCGTATTAATCGACATCTGTCACAAATTTTACGAACAGAAGCTCTTATTTTCATATTCAGACTCCTTACATTTCTTTTAAATTTACTTTAGAGTTTCGGTTTGATTGGAAGATTATAATAAAAACATTCATTTTTTTTTTTATTTTCAATTTCTAATTTTGTTATTTTTGCCAAAGAGATAGCTAAGTTTAAAAATGACTCCTTTGAATCATTGTTGTGTTGCAAAAGCTTCATCGACTTGTTCTGAAGTTATCCGTCTAAACTAAAAATGAATTTAGCCTATTTTCACAAAAAGAACTTATAATCCAATCTTTATTACTTTATTAGTTGATTATCTAAATCAATAAAAAAGAAAACCAGAACATACTATTTGAAAAGGATTCCTTAATAAAAAAATTCTTGAAAAAAGGAAAGTGATTTTTGTTCTTTCATCCGAAGGACTTTATTCTTTATTTCAGTGACCTAGAAGCAATAAGGAATGGGGATTTCATTAGATTCTAAAATATCCCATTTGGGAATCATAGAAATGGAAAGTTTCTACCTAATTGGCATCTTGAAAATATTACCATATATAAAACAAAATCTCCCCCCCGATTCTTTGCAGTCGGGCTTCTCGGTCTGTCATTATACCACGTGAAGTAGAAAGAATTACAACCCCCATCCCGCCTAAAATTTTAGGTATTTTTTTAGACTTAGAATACATTCGTAGACCGGGTCGACTTATCCGTTTTAAATTTAGAATATTGCTAAAGGTCCTTTTTTTAGTGTTTATATGTTGCAGAGTTAAAACTAAAAAATTTTTGTTGTTTTCTCGATGATTTCTCACACTTTCAATAAAACCTTCTTTTAAAAGGAGTTTTACAATCTTTTCGTTAATATTACTGGATGGGATTCGAACTGTTCTTTTTCCATCCCTATGAGTATTCCGTATAGAAGTTATTATCTCAGCAATAGTGTCCCTACCCATGATGAACTCTAATTATGGAGCTAAAAATTTTTCTACTCTCAACGTGTTTTTTTTATTGTCTATGGATTATTGTGTTTATCTTACTTTATTTTAATCTTAAAGTTATATACGTGAGACAGATTCTACTCCATTTTTTAATTTTTTTTATAATACCTCAGGAGCTAATGAAACGATTTTAGTAAAATTTAATTGTCTTAACTCCCGGGGGATTGGACCAAAAATTCTGGTCCCTTTTGGATTTCCTTCTTTATCAATAACAACTGCGGCATTATCATCATATCGTATTATTATCCCGTTGCCACGTTTTAGTTCTTTAGAGGTACGCACGATTACGGCTCTAACTACTTCAGATCTTTGTAGAGGCATGTTAGGTACAGCTTCTTTGATAACAGCAACAATAATGTCACCAATATAAGCATATCGACGATTGCTAGCTCCTATTATTCGAATACACATCAATTTTCGAGCCCCGCTGTTATCCGCTACATTTAAAAGGGTTTGGGATTGAATCATAGCATTTTTTTTATTCTTTTCTTTCACAATGCAAAGGGCGAAGAAAAAAAGAAATATTTTTTGTCCACAAACATAAAACGAAACCTCTTTTTTTTTTGTTTTTGTTTCATTCTTAAGATTCTTTGGGTTGGTTCTAGAGTTATATCGTCTATTCTATCTCCGAAATAATGAATTGAGTTTGTATCGGCATTTTTGATGCTGCTATTGAAATAGCTTTTCTGGCAATATTTTTTGTTACTCCACCCATTTCAAAAAGTATCCGACCGGGTTTAACAACAGCAACCCAATATTCAGGGGATCCTTTTCCTGAACCCATACGTGTTTCTGCGGGTCGTACAGTAACTGGTTTATCGGGAAATATACGTACCCATATTTTTCCTCCACGACGTGCATTTCGTGTCATAGCCCGTCGCCCAGCTTCTATTTGTCTAGATGTGATCCAAGCGGGTTCAAGTGCTTGAAGCGCATATTTACCGAAACAAATATGATTCCCTCGAGAAGCTATTCCCTTCATTCTTCCTCTATGTTGTTTACGGAATCTGGTTCTTTTGGGGTTATAGTTGATGGATTTTTATTTATTCCATCTCTACTACAGAACCGGATGTGAGAGTTTCTTCTCATCCAGCTCCTCGCGAATTACGAATAAAGTATTTACAAAATGAGCGTTTGACTCAAATTGACTAATCATAGTGAAGATATCTAAATCTAAAGATAGATAATAAAAGTCTGGACTGAGAAGTCAAAATAATATTTAGGGATTGAGTGATCTTTTTTTAAATCTATTTGAATTGAAATGAATTATTCTACAGTTTTTTCATGATTCTCTGAGTCTAACTAATCCTTCATTTTTGACTATTCTTTATATTGCTTTAGATTGAATATTGATTCTTTTGAAAAAAGTTTTCGCGGGCGAATATTGACTCTGTCAATTTAGATTTCATTTCTAGGACGAGTTTGTGACATCTTATAGCTAGTATCTAGAAATAAAATAATTTAACATTGGTTTATTCCGCCATCCCAGCCAGTGAATGTTTAAGATTTTTTTTTATTTCATCTTGAATTGAATTGAATCTTTTGTATTCTCATAAGTTCCGTCGTCCCCATCACTTCTTACTTAATGGTTAGGTCCTAATTTTACAATGGAGCTCAAATAGTAATAATATATGAATAATTTAAGTCTTTAGCCATTTTTCTTAGTCTTTATTGGCTTTAAGCTCTTGACTTTATTTTTTTATTTTATCTCTTCTATATTTAATATCTAATTGAATATTTATATATAGATTATAGATTTCTATAATAAGAGTATATTGTTTTTTATTATTGAATATTCTTAGATTTCTTATTCTATTTTAAATACTTTAATATGCAGAATTTAAGTATTAATGCTTCATTACATTGCCTGTTTTGTTAGACCCTACATATTGGAATTTTCAATCATTGAGCTTCTTTTTCTCCCTTTCTCTCTCCCTTCCAATTATCCACATCTTTTTTATATTTTGCTTCGCAACTTCAATAATATTTGAATACTATTTTTCGTTTATGCAAATAAATGGCAGTTGCTACAACGATATGAGCGGTAATCATATCGTGACTGGTTATTTAGATCCAGATAATGCGAAATTGATGAGTTAATTATTAGGTAATTTCTTCTCGAGTTAGTAGTTGTTACTTTGGGTTTGGTTTCATGCTAACCTTAAAAAATAAACGAGTCGCACACTAAGCATAGCAATGATATTTTTATTAAAAATAAATAAAATTTTTATTCAACCTTATAGAATTCATTATTATCAATTAGAACTGTTCCTGCTCATTACACAAAATAATTTGTGAAATGGCCGCTCGGTATTACAGGTAAAAAGAATGAATAAAATTTTATTGAGCTTGATCAAAAAATATCCAAATTTTTATGCCTAAAACCCCGTAGATAGTTCGAACTGAATAACAACAATAATCAATTTTAGCTTGAATAGTTTGGCGGGGAATTCTTCCTTCTCTTATCCATTCCACACGTGCAATTTCCTTTCCGTCAAGGCGTCCCGCAATTTGTACTTGAATTCCTTTTGTATCTGCTTGTTCAGCTAATTCAATAGCTTTTTTCATTGCTTTTCGAAAGGAAACTCTATTCTTTAATTGTCCAGCTATAAATTCGGCAAGAATATTAGGATTTCCATACGGTTTTTCAATTTTTGTGATAGCAATATTAAGTTTTCGGTTTACGAAATTTAATTTTTTTTGTAGAGCTTTTTGTAATTCTTCAACTCCCTGCGGGCTATTTTCAATGAATACTTTGGGAAATCCAATATAGATTATGACTTGGATTAGATCGAGTCTTTTTTTAATACATATACCTGCAATTCCCTCGGTACCCGAGGGTTTGATTCTATTTTTTTGTACATAATTTTTTATAAAAGCTCTTATCTTTTGATCTTCTTGCAGATTTTCAGCATACGTTTTTGGTTGCGAAAACCAAAGTGAATAATGGGCCTGGTTTGTACCAAGTCTGAAACCAAGTGGATTTATTTTTTGTCCCATAAATACCTCCTTTTCTGGATATCAGAATATGCTTTAGTTCTAGAATTTTTTTTCGCTTGTGGTTTTTTTAGCAAACCGAGCTCCACGGATTCAGAATCATTGAATGAAATATCTTTTAGTACAATAGT